TGATTTGATAAACATTTGCACAACTGTCGTGGGACCCACAAAATTAGCAGCATCATCTTTTTATTCTACCGGTCCTGTGCTTTCAGAAAATGTATGGGTTGGGGGGGTCATTTACAAACTGTGAAAGTTGCAGTTGAAAATTAAAAAAAGGTGAAACATTGAAAAAATGGTCTGGCCAGCTGAGGTTAAAAGTGGAGTGCAGGGCCTGGCAGCGAAAGAGTTAAACCTGTTTGCCTCCCCTCCACCCCATGTCCCTTCTGCGTCCCAATGTTCCACTCCCTACTATCCCCATAAGGATAACAAATTTCCTTTCCCTTTCCAATCCACATTACTTTCCTTCCCTCACTCTGTCCTACGTAGGATAGCCTGATATCCCGTGATCCAAACGCATCATTTAATTTAAGCACTTTTCATGATACAAGCTGAGATTTGTTGTACATTGTTCATATGCACTAAAATGCCTTAAAGTATATTTCCCCTTTTGCCGCCCAATTGGGAGAACACCTACTTTATATTTGTTACATTTATCTCTATAGGTTCAAATCGATGGACATGTGTCTTTTTTTCAACCTGACTAAGTATGTAACATGTTCCCATTCACATAACATAGCTTTAAAAATGTAGAAAAATTGCTACTTAGATTTTTTATGCGTTTACTTGCTTAAAAATCCCTCTTAGCTTCCCCCTATGTAATGTTAAGGAGGGGGCTGTGCAAAGTTGTTTACTCTAATAAACCTGTCTGTACTCTGCCGGCATATTTCAATATCAGTTGTAAGCCAGATTTGAACACTGTCTGCCATCTAAAAGGTAAGGCATTTAAACAAAAATTATGGGGTCTATTCACTAAGCTGCCGTAGGCAGCCGAGTGAATGACCGACCTAAAGCGAAGTGAGCCGAACGCTGTTCGGCTATTCACTTCAGGCTGGTACGGACTATTTCAGCCGTATATCGGCTGAAACTAGCTCCGCCCAACTGTTTTGTATTGGCCGGCGGTTCTGCTGCAGTCAAAAAAAAGAAGAAAAAAAAACTCTCCGGGGCGTTCCCGGCCGGAGCCATGTCAGAATAGAAAAAGAAAAAAAAATTTTGGCCATAGGAATGCATTGCTAGATTCCTATTGGCTATTTCAATTTGCAATAGCCAATACCAAACTACCCAGATAGGAAGGATAACTTGCCACAAACTTGTGGCAGAGTTAAATTGCAATTTAGCACTGCATTCCTATCGCCAAAAAATATTATTTCTTTTTTTCTATTCTGGCTCCGTGTCAGAATAAAAAAAAAGAAAAAGCAGTGTTTCTCTCCTTGGTGGCCGGGAGCGGGAGCCTCCCGGAGCGCCCGGGAGAGTTAGGCTGCCTGGAGATCAGTGTCCCTGGTTAGCTGGTAACCAGGGACGCTGATCTCTCTGCAAGTGGCCAGCTTCGGGTTTCAGTGCGGCTAAGCCGAGGCATATGCATTCGGCTCAACTGAGCCGCTCGGCCAGGTTCGGGAGCTGTACGGGCTATAGTGAATAGCCCTACAACAGCCCTTCGGTTCTACTGAACCGAAGGGGTCCTGGGGCCGAAGCTAGCCGAAGGATCAACCGAAGCTACGGCTGCTTCGTGAATAGACCCCTATGTCTGCTGTGTGAATGGAAACACTACACACCAAACACATTGCGGGGTTTTCTCAAATTTGACTGTAAAAGTGTAAATGCCTCTGGGAAAAGTAAAAGTGGTGCTGCCCTTGCACTGCAAGGCTTAAGTGCTCATTTTGTCTAGGGGGCTCAGATAAAGCTGTTTTACTCACCTGAATTGCAGTGATCACCTTGGTCCCGTGGCATTGGCACTCACCTCTCTCTTCCTCCGCTCCGGTTATGGGATGTCCCTCAGCGTCCTCACATCTAATGTAGGTTAATGGACCTGCATAAGACGTGATGACATCAGTGTTCTTTAGACTGCCAGAGCTCAGGGGAGAAGACACTGCGTGGACCAGTCTAGAAGCCTGTAGGGAGCCAGCAAAACTGAGGATCAAGGTAAGTAAATCTGCTTTATGTGAGTGCCCTAGACAAAATGATCACCTAACCCTTGCAGAGAGGGGGAAGCCCCACAGCAAGGGTAAGTTTTTTAAAATTTTTTCCTGGAGTTCTTCTTTAAAGGAGAACTATGAGATGAGTGATTTCCACTCACCTCATAGTTCTAGCCGACCTGTGATAGGTCGGCTCAGTAGATCGGGAGGTGAGCGAACACATACCAGGTTCGCTCACCTCTCGATCCTGTCACGGCTCTCTGCCGTGACAGGGGGAGGGCTGGATTCCCCTCTCCCCGCTCAGATCTGCCAGCGCTGACTGGCGGAACGGACGGGGGCGGGTACAGCTGGCTCTGCCTCTAGATAGGCAGAGCCAGCTGTCACTCACGCAGCTGGGCGGATCCCGTCATCTACGTCGGGATCCGCTCCGGCTACTGAGCTTAGGGTAACGGGAGGACGCTAGTTTGTGTCCTCCCGTTACCCTAAGGAGAACTGTGGGGGAAAACACTGACCCCATAGTTCTCCTTTAAACAAAAGGTATGAGCACATGGGAATCATTTATAAAGGCTTGGTTTTGTGGACTGCGGAGATCAGTTTAGCTCAGTTTAATATAGGGTTGTGCTCCGTATGAATGTACGACACACACATCTCAAAGTGCATGGTAAACTCATGCAGATGCATAGTAAACACATCTCAAACATTCAGAAGATGACTAGCCCTAAATCTTCTGTTTTCTGGGATCAGACAGGAAACATTCACATTACTTTCTGCAGATATGAAAATAGCCCACTATAAATAGCTACTTGCGCTGTATGAAACTCTTAACATTTCAGCTGTCAGAAAGGCAATGTCTTAATAGAAAGGTACTGCCTTTATATAGTCACTGTCTGTGCTCTGTCATGATAAAGTAAACCATGCATAAATACTTTGGTCAAAGGGTGAGCAAATTCCCTGCAATCAAATGTTCATGTCAGCTGAAAACCATGTGGCTGAAAATCAGAGATTTTCCCTGTGGTTAGATGGTGTAGTATCTCAAAAGCACAGGTGGAATTCTACTACCAGTACATTATATGTTCATGTTGTCATCGGTGAGCGGATTTGAACCAGGAAAAAAAAGCTCAGCTTCTATTGTACAACAGAAGATCCTGGGATCGGTGTACACTGTTCCATTAACCATGATTAGGGTTTCAGATACCGGGCTGCATATTATCTCTTCCACAGCAAGGCATAAAGGTCATTTTTATTAACAGGGTATATTTAGGTATTCAAATAGCATATCATTTTAAAACAATATCCTGTTTCTGACACAGAACTCTGGATTCAGCCATAAGTGCAATACAGAGCTGCATGACCCTGCGGTAGCTATATTGTAAAAACATTTTTAGGCAGCCGAGTGAATAACCCAGCCGTAGTGCAGTGAGCCGAATGCTGTTCAGCTATCCAGTCTTGTACGGCTGGTTTCAGTCGTAGATCGGCTAAAATCAGCCATACATCGTCTGCCTTCAGTCAGCTGAACATGCTCTGCATGTTCGTCTGAGCCGAAGTGCAGAAGGAGTTCGACTCAGCCAATCCAACATGTGGATCAGCTGAGCCAAAGCTCCGGCAGCTCACGAGCTGCAGTTTGCCCCTATTCTCACAGGGGCCAAACAGCAGTGAGTGAATAGCCGAATGCCGCCGAGTGGCATTCGGCTTGGCTATTTTGCTCGATACCTAAATGTAAAAAAATTAGAAAATTAGAAAATAAGTAAAAATATTTTAAAGAAAATAAAATATGATGTTTTTAAAACGCAGCACGCCGACCTGACCGCATGCGATGGACTCCCGCTGCATGAAAAAAGCATCTGACAGATGGCGGCAAAAGAAAAACAATTGGGCAGAGCTAGTGGTGACAGCTAGCTTCACCCAACTGTTTCCTATTGGCCGGCACCTGCCAGAGTCTTCTAGCAGAGATCACAGCTGGCTCTAACCCAACTGTCATTTGCGTGGAGAACAGCCGGCCCTTCTCCCCGCTTCCGCTCAGTCAAGCCGAACATATACCTTTGGCTCGGCTGCCTTCAGCTGCTGTACGGACTATTGTGAATAGCCCGTACAGCAGCCCTTGGGGGGCTGGGGTGGCCAAAGCGAGCCGAGGGATCAGCCGAAGCTATGCTTGTACTTGCTGATATTTGCTAATATGCAAATTCATTATCTTGGCAAATCCATCAACTTAATATTTTCCGTTGTTGGTGCATATATCTCACAGAAGTTTATAGAGGCAGGGAGAACAAAAGAAAGTGATCTACTTTATGGCATTCCAAGCATCTCTGCCATGATTCTATTGGTGCTGCAAAACATATTCTTACTATATGCACAATGGAGCAGTAACAGCATAATCAGTAACATTAAAACGGATGCAAGGGAGCCAGCTTCTCTGTATACCTTATATATCTTAGACCTGTCAGTAATGTGCAGAGCAAGAAGAGAAACCCAACAGGAACATAGATTGTTAACATTTTTCTGTGTCAGTGATTGCTAGAACCATTTGGACCCCAAAAAATGTTGTTTATCTGAAATTTCTTTGGAATCTTATTAAGGTGACAGTTTAGATATAAAACGGAGGTGCCTGAAGTTCTTCTTTAACTAGATCAGATGTTTTCTTCAATCATTAATGGGGCTTCAGTCAAAACCTTTCATTGTATTAAATAAACTGGTAGAACTTCTGTCACATCTTTACTGTGCCTTACCTCCAGTCTATAAAACACAACATGAAGTGGATATCTCCCCAATCTGAGGAAAATCCAGACTCTGAAATTTGCCACTAAAACACGTGTCCCCACTCGGAGACATCCTTAAAGATCAAACTGACATCATTAAAAGTCTGAGTATAACTTTTTCCACTCCATCCAAAAGAAAATACATTTGGAGGGTAATTCATATAATTATATAACACAAAATTAAGAAGCTGAAAAATGGGTTACACTCGCTTTTCTTTAACTTTAAAAACAGAAAAGTTCTAACCAAGCTCTTATCTTCTGGCCGAGTGAAGTCCTCCATTTTCCGCAACACTCCAAGGTCAAAGCTCCCCCTGCCGCCGTCATCCGCACTCCGTCTTCGACCTGGTAAGCCTCGTTTTGGACGACTTTCAATCTTCTTCTGCCTCTGATCAAGGCGGCTTCCACTGCTTAGTTTTCTCACTGGATTTGTCAGCCATTTCTTCAAAGTACTGACAGACCTCCTGGATCCAGGGGAACTAGGTGCGGAGCTAGTAGAGGGCTGAGGTTGGATGGAAGCCACTGAAGCTGAAATGCTGCCATCACTGCCAGCAATAGAATAGGATTCTAGAAAATAAATAAATACAAAAAAGACATATCAGTATTAGCCCAACACATGGACTTTCATGAATGTGCTTTGACAGTATTCTATATCTAGATTATCACAAATAAGTATCAGCTTAAAAATAAACATTGAAGATGTGCATGACTTCCGTATTACCCAGAGCTTGAAGGAAAAAATAGGACAGTTGGTTGTATGGTAGAATTTGTTATGGAGCCATCAAAATATTGGGAGATATTTTGTCATAAGCTGATGTACTTGTTAGTGTGAAAGCTGTAGACCCGTATTTATAACATACGTCTTTCCTCAAAAGATGAACACCATAAATATTCCATAAATTCAACCTATAACCAACAAGAACTACAGCTTTATATAAATATATTTATTTAAGTACATTTAATAGATGTCAAGCACAGCGGTTTGAGAAATGTAGGTCCATAACCATGTGGCTGAGTAGCATTATAACTCAACTGTCTATACTTTAAGAAGCATACTCCACTACCCCAGGGCAACCAGTTAGTACCAAGCTATTGCTTTTACAGTGAAGCTTAGAATATCATTGGCTGCTCTGAACAACACCTGCCTCTCTTCCATGCGTTAATGTAATTTTCCCTACTTTACCGAGAAAGATAAACTGGTATGTATTTCATCTTGTGGAATACTGAGAAAGATTCTCAGTTAGAAGTTAAATCATTTATCAGCTTTGTAGCACCCAGCAGTTTCTAGGAAAAGTTATTAACACTTTGTCTTGCAGCACTAGGGTTCTGAGTTATCTTTCCACTAAGAGCATTATCGGCATTTAATATGTAGATTTCCCCAAGTTAGTGCTTTTATGGGGGAAAGGAGACAGAGGCACCAATTCGTTTCTAGAATTGAAAAAACATATTGGTATCTTAATAGGCTTCTACTCATACTGCAGTTAGTGACTCAATAACAAGGATAGGGAGAGTGAAGCCTTTAGACAGTAAGTTATGTGGGGCAGTGGCTGATGTGACTTGTTGTATGTACTCTGTAACATCCTATGGAATATATCAGCTTATCATAGATACAGGAAATAACAGTATTAACCATTGTATCATCATTGTTGTTCCATGACCTAACATTTTACCAGAATTTGGTGAATGAAAGTATAGCTAAACCCAAAAACAAATATTTTTAAATATTGCAGTTTACCAGTCCTTAGATGTGGTGGCTGCATTTATTCTCTTCTTTTTGGGCTAAGAACATTTTCAAAAAGTACAAAAAATACTTGCCATTGTCTATTTTCACCTGTAGTAGCCTATATTGGTATTAGTAGTATAACCAAATTGTCTCTCAATTACAGTTTATCCTGTTTTTAAGTTTACATACGCGTTAAGGAATTACAGTTTACATACGCGTTAAGGAATTACAGGTGCTAGTAAAGCCTAGGAAGCAGTGTTAATTTTGACAGCAAATTTCGATTTAGTTTTAGTCATAGTCTTTTGATTAAAACGCCTCTGAATTTTAGTCATCTCATTTGTTTTAATTTTAGTCTAGTTTTAGTCGACTAAATATCATAAGATTTCAGATGAATAAATCTACGGTAGATTTAGTCTTCTAAAATCTAGTGGGTTTAGTTAGAGTAATTTAAGAATGTTTCTAGAATTTCCAATCTCATTATATACTCCTGGAGTAAACATCTATTACCCTGTTATTACTTATGGTATTAGGATTTGAACATGCAATACAGACATGTTGTGTTGTGATATTTAACATGTCTTTATTTATCTTACAATTAGATTAAACCAAGTCTTATAAAGAAACAATATAATTGAGTATTTTCAACATAGGACCAGTAATTAGATACGCATTGATTATAAAAACTTGCATATGACATTCTTCATTCTTTAAAGCAGGAGTGCAACGCTAAAATATTCAAATGAAAAACGATATTGGCTGTAATGCCATTGCACATATTACCTATAAGCCGTCCATTCAGGATGGAACCGGAACTGCAAGTCCAAAGAGATTAGTTCTGATTGGCTCTCTTCCCAAATCGTATCTCACTAACATTTTAGTCTAGTTTTAGTCGACTAAAGTATCAATATATTTCCGTTATAGTTTTAGTCATCATAATTCAGGTTTTCTTTTAGTTTTAGTCTAGTTTTAGTCACTGAAAAAGTGTTGTTGACGAAAACTATGACGAAAATGATTAGTCAATGAAATTAACACTGCTAGGAAGTAAGCCTTTGTATTACTACACGTGCAAGATGATAGTAAATAGGGATATTACATTTTAAATGGAAATCCTGTTAGCTACAATACCTACACTTGTATCTGTAATAATTAATGAGATTTCAATGTAAACCGAAATTACTGGAATAAAAGTGTATCAATCGCTTAACTTCACCTGTCCCAATAAATTAAATTGGAATAATATCCCATTACTATTTTGATGACAACAGTAACATAACAATAATACCTTTTATTATCTCACAACTGCAAATAACAATTTAACTCTTTTTGCTGAAATACCAAAATATATCTGGGAAGAAACATATGTTTATAAACTGCGACTTAGCTTTGTATAACAAACAGAGAGCCTTATGTATGCTGAGCTTCATTACAACCCCATGCTTCAGGGTACTGGCACCCTTCACACAGTCAGGTATAACAATAATGAACAAAGAAGATTTTTTTTCTTAATAGCAAAAGCTGAAAAAACTTTGAGCAATTAAGAAATGAATCACAAAACGTGAGATGTCTAGAAACACATGTAGTATGCAAACTTAATGGGGTTAAAGGACAGGGTGTCAGGCCTGGGTCATGTAGTGACTGACTCATGTCTGTGTAGGCTGAATTCCACTGCAGGACACATCTCCATGGTAACCGTTGACGATGGAGAAGTACCATGTGTTCATCACTGGTGAGAATGACAAGGGACATTTAAGCATCAAGCACAGCATGCGGCTGTCATGTAATATTTATCCAGATAGTGATGGAAAGACAGTGATAGATCATTAGATAGAGGCCAGCAGGGGAAAAAATGACACTATGAAACAATGATGGACAATGAAGCCAAAAACAGTGTGAAAAAAAAACCATATACGATAATGATACTCTTCCTGTACAGTGTGAACCTTGTAAGCCTGGGGCCGCTAAAAATGAATTACAAGAGGGTTGATGGAAACAAGTTTTAACAAGATAAGTGGAAAAATATTGTCATCAAATATTGATCTTCAAAATTAATGGAATGGTAGTAATGTTAGGCATTCCCCAAAGTGCTCTTTTCAAACTAGTCACCAAACAGAATTTCCCTGTTTTTTGGTATGGCTTTATTGCTGCTGCAAGAGCTTTGCTACACAGCATCAGACTTCTCACATCTCCCCCAACCCGATAATAGCTAGTACTACTAATAGCGTCTACTGTATCAACATTGCACTGGATGCAAGTAAAGGTGTGATACAGCAATGAGGGGGGGGGGAGAGTTAATCAGTGGCAGACAACAATGTATGGGACACAGAGGAATCAGGACTGCATACATTTTTTGATGTGGGATCTGCATTATTACATCAACTCCTACGAAAATGCTTTCTAACCTGTCAAACTGCTTTCTCTCCTAAAACCAATAGAGCTGGAATGTCTGAGGTTGCCCTATAGACATTATATTGTCACCCAATTTAGCTGAAAACCGCTATGTTAAGGGTATGTCATAAGCCATCTTTATACATATAACCTTTGACTGTCGTATATCACTATTATTAATAAAAGAGGATACACTTTCATCAATTTCAGTTCTTGCAAAGCAACAAGAGCCCACAATATAGATAACAGACATGTTATAAATGCATTTTACTTGTGCAAAGACTGTAATCTAAGTATAATAGACATGTGGGTATGCTACCTGAGTAACTGCCTCCCACCACCGTGATTTTACTGTAACTGGAAATCCCTCATTTGGCTTTAGTGCAGAGAAAATGCACTTAAGAGTATGCTGACAGTTACACTATGTTTGCTGCAAATATTGGTGACAATATAAGGATCTGCATGGATTAATGCAATGGAACACGCATACAAAACAAATTCTCAGCAGCGTAACTTATCCTGAAATGGATTCTTACCAATTCTAGAAGTTGTTTAGAAATTATTTAGTTATTCTTTATAAGACAATGCCATATGATTCAACTTGCCATCATGAAATATTAGGTCTGGGTAGAGCTGGTAAGAAAATTCCCAAAAATGGGGCAGTCTTAAAGTATCTAAGAGAATTATACTGTATAAGTCCTATAATGGTTTCATTATGGTTTTCCAACATTTATAGTGATGCACCTGTTTAAAATAGAACTGTGGCCAGGCTTTCAAATGTTTACCTATTCTTAACAAGCAGTAAATATGCTTTAGAACAAGCCCTCACTGACCTCTGTAGTTGCAAGCACTATAGAGTATTTCATTCTCAAATTTCACAATGGAAGTAGTGGAGTTGCTTAAGTTGGGTTTCATCACTTTCATCTCCCTCCTCTTCCTGTGCAGCTCTGTGTTTACATTAAAGATTAAAAGGCTGACAGGCTACCAACTCGCTCTGTTAAGAGCAAAACCAGCTACTAAGAGAAAGGTAAAGTGAACCAAGCTTGCATGCAAATGCAAGGTCTGCTTAAATTACAGCCCCCCATACCTTGAACCCCTCTTCCCTGAGATGCTGGTTATGTCATCGTGCCTCACCAGTGATTTGTCATGGTCTGCTTTAAAGCGAAAGAGTTTTTGCTGTGGGTGATTTATTCCACAGTCCATGCAGCTACAGAGGTCAGTGAGTACTAGTTATAAAGCACATTTACTGCTTGTTAAGAATATGTACATTTTAGTAATAAGATTATGTTCAAGAAGGGAAGGTCCTACAGCCACACCCACAAAGCAACATGTAGACAAAAGAGACAGTTCCAAAGCCAAAAGGCTGAGGGCTGGGAGTCATGGAGGACTTTTTAGGGTTTTCTCCTGCGGCCCCCTAGGGGATACCATAGTCTATTGAAGCAGCTGCAGTCCTGTTTTG